TTGTCGTTGAAGGGCGAGAGCGACTTCTTCTCGACGGTCTCCACGGCGATCTCGTGCGCGCGGCTGCGCAGCTGCGTGAAGGCCGCCCTGCGCTCACTGCCTTCCTCCAGCACCTCCCGACACTCGAGATGCCGGACGTTGGTCACCGCCTTCTTCGGCACGCCCTTGATTTTGCGCTTCTTCTTGCGCGCGCCGTCGGGCTGGACCGTGAGGATGCTGTACATCTTGGAGCGCAGGCCCACGTACTCCAGGATCCTGGCGGAGAAGAGGCCTTCTCCATCATAAGCTTGGAGAGCTGCAGCGCGCGGGCGCCGACTTGGGTGGGCACGCTCATGAAGGCCTTGCTGCGGTTCGTCTTAAGCGTCTCCACAAAGGCCAGGAACCTTGCGAGTCGTTGATTTGGAGCTTGAAGTTCGTCACGGAGCTCTTGCCCACGGCCCGCTCGAACTTGGCCGGGTCCACGTGGCGTTCGTGTTCCTGAACTTGTCGGGGTTCATGCAGCAGCGGCCAAAGATGGCGTTCTGGGTGAGCTTCACCACCTTCTCGGCGACCACGCTCCCCGCCGTCTTAAGCTGCCTCCGCTCGCTGTGCTTGAGCTCCATGAAGCCCGCCATGAAGGGGCTGCAGGCGAAGCGGTGGGCTCTGCGCAGCCTTCAGATCCTGGCGCCCAGCACGTTCCGCACGAGCTTCACGGGGAGAGGCCAAGGCGCTCCGCCATGTTTGTCCGCGGTGTGCGGCCCGGACAGGCCCTTCCCGACCTTCATGCGCGCGGGGGGAGCCCAGTCCACCTCCGGGGGAAAGTCGTAGTCCACGAGGAGCAGGTAGCTCACCTCCTCGGAGTCGGACTCCCAGTTCAGCCCCGAGAGGCACGTCTTGTGCAGCCAGCTCAGTCTTGCTGCGTTTTCTTCCGGCAGGGCGACCGTCACGCAGGGGCCGTTGGGCATGGGCAGCGTCATTGCGGCCGGGTACATGGCGTTGAAGTCCAAGTACGAGATCCAGCTGACGGGCTCCTCGCTCGGAGTTGTAGTCCTCCTCGCCCAGCTTGGGGTTGTTGGCTTGAGCGAAGGGCTGGAAGATGCAGCTCAGCCCACCCATGACAGAGGACCGCACGTCCGCGTAGGCCTGCTCGTCGGTGATGAGGTGAATGGGAGTCTCGCGGGCCAGGCGTGACGTAGTGGATGGGGTCGAGCCCCGACTGCGCCCGGAAGTAGTCCCGGTAGCTCTCCATCACGTCCGCCAGGGCCAGAACGTCGGTGTGGAAGTAGCAGTCGTGGAACTCTCGGAAGGTCTCCCTGACGGCCAGCCGGTGGTCCTCTGCGCTCACCGCCAGCACGCTGTCGTAGCAGTGCTGCTCCCACACCGCGGGCATCTCCCACGCCTCGGCGCCGCAGAAGTGCTCGAAGGGCATGGACAGCTTGCGCAGGATGCAGTCCCACGCCTGCTCCAGGTCGCAGTGCGTCCGCCGCTGTTTGAGAGGCCGTCTTTGGGGCGGAGAGTCGGTCGGCGTGCGCAGCTGCAGCTCGGAAGCGAGGCCATCAGCGGGAAGAGCTCCGACAGCTGCTTGTGGGTGCAGGCCCTGAGGTCGTCGATCATGCTGGCCAGGCTCGTGGGGAAGACGTTCATGCTGTCCACGAACCTCAGCGCGCCCCAGCTCATGTGGAGGCACTTCTCGCCCGACTTGCAGAGGACTTGGAGGCAGAGGTGGCTGTAGTCGCCCTGCTTGATCGTGGCCTGCACCGACCACTACCTCACCTGGAAACGCCGAATTCTAGGCCCGCGTGACCCGGAGGGAGGAGCTGGAGCACAGGGCCACCACTGACTGCAGAAAGTGCCTCGCGTCCTTCGAGACCGCTGAGAAGAAGCTCCACCACTGCCACGGCACCGGGCAGTATCTCGGGGCGCTGTGCCACTCCTGCAACATCGCGGCCCAGACGCCCACGGCTACGACTTCCACTTCCTGCTGCGCTACATCGCACGATGGGCTCTCCTGTCTGCAGGGCGCCGCGCGAAGAGCTTGGCGAGGACAGCGACAACGAGGGCACCGGCGACCCATGGCCCCTCAGCGGCTGGTGCGCCCCCAGCTTGAGAAGGTCGTTCAGCATGGTGCGGACGGCGTGGTACTTGTCGCTGTCCCGCTCGTGTGCGTGAGCCTCAGCCTCAGCTCCTCGGGTGGCGCGTAGCCGCAGCAGGGGCGCGATGGCCGGCGCCAGTGCGCTGCTGTCCAGCTTCGAGGCCAGCCCTGCGGTCGTCCAGGGACTGGATGGCTGCGTTGTTGCCGGAGGCTGCCGTGTTCACTGCCAGGTCTGCCACTTGCGCGTAGGGCGTCAGAGCCAGGGCCAGCTGCCCTGCGGTGACGTGCGTGCCGTCAGTTACCTCTCCGTTGTCCAGGACCTCCAAAATGTTGCCGGTGACAGGTCCTTCAAACATGTTTACATATGTTTTCGCCGACGCCTTAGTCCAGTGGCTAAGGCGTCGGCCAAGGAACTTACTGCTTCTTACTCCGCACGGGGCTCGATTCCTGCCGCGAGCGCAGTTGAGTACCATTCAGTCCGAACTCCGGCCGTTCCGGCCGTTCGGAGAAGTTTCCACAAGTACGTGTCACCCCGTCGTGGGTGACCTTAAAAGCACAAGCAACACTTGTGCTTCTCACGACCTGAAACGGCTTCGGTCGCGCCAGGCCCGCACCAGGCCCGCACCCTGATTTTTTTTGGAAACTCTCAGTCGCATCAGGCCCGCACCAGGCCCGCGCCAGGCCCGCACCAGGCCCGCACCAGGCCCGCACCAGGCACGCACCAGGCACGCACCTGGGTTTTTCGGGTCGGAAGCTTGGAATTCCAACCGCGGTGTCAAAATTCCGATTCAGCTTCGTCTCTCTGAGAGTCGACCTCGGTCGCTCCTCAGATTTGAACTTCCAGGCGTATATTACTACCAGACACACAAATTCTTTCTCAAGCTGAACATTTCGTCTCACGACATCTTGGGATTGCTTGGAATCCACAAGGACAACCACTCCGTCAACAGGATTTACAACTATCCTGACCCAATCAAGCTCGGCCAATTGTTTCCCATCCTGTGGGTTCTTGATCTTTGACACGTTCTTCCGCAATCCCCAATTGTATTGCCATTCAACTCCACCCCAGCGGTTTCGAAGCATTGCTCGAATTCTCTTACCACCGGGCATCTGCAATGTCCGCGTCTCAGCTGGCGCAGAAATCTCAGATTCTTTACTCTTGGGTCCGTCTTTCTTCTTCTTGCCACCACCCTTCACCTTGGCTTTCTCCTCCTCGGTGTAGTATTTCCTCATCATTGCCCATTCATCAGGAGTGTATTCTGGAGGTCTTGTTGTCTTCATCAACCTGAAGCCGTCCTTCCCAACGGGATACGGTCTTCCGGCCTTGTCGATCTTAACCTCCCTGCCATCATCGTTGATGTACGTTATGCCATCCCCAGGTAGTCCAGCTGACACATGTGGAAGGTCGGGCTTCACAACTTCTTCATCGCCCTTGTCATGTCCATCGCCTTTCCCTTTTGACGAGCTCGGTCTAGCACCCTCTTCTTCTACATGATCCCCCCGATCTCCGACAAGCATCTCCGGACCTTCGTCAAGCAGTAGACCAGCGATCTGATCGACCTCATCGTCAAGCAGTCGCTTTTCGTCACTCTGCAATAACTCGGGCTCGTAGTCCTCATCTTCGATCAGGCGATCACGTGCATCCAGACCGACGGACATCTCTATTCCCTCCAAAGTTTCGTTGGCAGCCTTGTATTTCTGTTGTATTGGGAATGTCAGAGGTGATTTGAGAATCATCCTCTCCGTTTGATGTGGCATTCTCAATCGAGGTGGAACCTTTGCCTTCTTGATGTTCAGTTCTGCACCTGCAAACGCAGTGAGGGCCCAAGCCCGATACTTGTTCGCCCAATGCATCCCGGTACTCAGCACATATCCAGCAAATATACCAGTTTCCCCCCTTGGCTCAAAGTTCTCCCTCTTCTCTCCTCGCGCTTCGCTCGGTTTGAAGTCCACCAGCGCACCAAACGGTATCTTCTCGCCTTTGAACTCCTCACCATGCAGCCTCAACCAAGCGCTTGATCCACTCACCTCTTCGACGTTCATCAGATGGCACAGCGTGGTGATGGCCTGCACCCAGTAGCACGTGGGTAGACCGGCATGTACAAGACAAGCCGAAGTCTGGTCAATGATGAATTGATTTGTTCTTTCAGCAAGGGAATTGTTCTGTGGTCGTCCGGGCAAGGACAGGTCGTGGTTCAGTTTCAATTCCACGCATGCGTTGATCAGTTCTGGACCATCGTCCGAGTACACCTGCTTGATCTTCCTTCTGCGGTTGATGGCTCTGACAACGGAGTCATGCGAGGCTTTTACACAACTATGCCGAGCAATTGGAGGCGTCAAAGCTTCAAAATGGGCTGTCAGCTGTGTCCGAACGAGAAACATCTGTCCGGCGTGTGTCAAAGCTTTGCAAAACGGGTCCGAGAAAATCGGGCCCACACCTGGTTTCTGACGGGGTTGCTGTTGTTGTTACGTTGCCAACCGTATCCACTGTTGGCAGAACTTCATTTTGTTGCTCGAGCGTTGGCTGACCATGCTTGCACCGAAAGCGAGATGGTTCCAGTGCCTCCCGCTCCGTCGCCGCTTTGCGCTGCTCAAAAACTGTAGCGGGACATTCCTCAATCAAGTCCAGGCATATGGGTGTGTGTTTTGTCGAAGGTATCCCCTTGAGCGTTGTATCACAGGAAAATGAAAGAAACGATTTCGGGGGGACCTGTATGTCAGGACATACCATTGGATCATTTGATCTCGTGCAACTTTGTGAAAGACTGCACATGCGGCTAACATGTTGGCAACATCCTTATTCACGTCCTGGATGCTAGCTCCCTTTTGCTTAAAGATATACTTCAGCCCGTGCTGGCAATACAACAGTTAGCCTCAAGCTTTGCTTCCACATCACCCGGGCGCATCGTGTGCAAACCATTGAGCCAACATGGCGAAGGAGGAGCAGAGCTGCTGCGGCCGATGTTCTTGGGTAGACATTGCCTCAGTCTCATTTGCCAGTTTGAAACCGACCAAAGGGAGTTCCCCAAAAACACACACACACACACAAATGCAGGTGGCGACATCAGCTGGCTGAGGGGCAGGATGAAAGCTGCAAGGAAAGCGGTTTGGTGGAGTTTGCACATCCTGGGAGTGAATCTTGGGGTTTTATTGCTGTTTTTATCACTTTCCATATGACAAAAGGGATGGTTTCGCGGTGAAGAGGGAACGTGGTAAGGAGTGTGGGAATCCCCCCACTTTGGCCGCTGTGCAGCAAGGCTACTAATAATGAGAAGCTGCGGTGAGGTCGTTTGAGCGACCTGCCTATGCGTTCAGCTGCCTCCTTCTCCCATTGACAGCCAGGGATGCCGGGATGCCTTTCATTTACATAGCAAGCTACAGACTTACACATGCGCCGGATCTTGTTTTGAAGCTCAGGGGATCTTCTTTTTTCAAGGTGCGTTTGTTTTTCCAGAGGGGCGGTTCCATTTTTGGCGGTCAGGAGGACCTCACAGAGAAGATCCTGGAGCGGCTCGGTGATTCCCGGTTGTTTTTTGGCGGGCGGGCGGGGGGGGAAAAAGACAGACGGGTGGACTCAAAAGGGAGAGAGGTGAACCAGCGGTTTTGGGAAAGTGGATCGCGTTTTTTGGGAAGGACGTCGGATGTTGAGAAGGGTGGAGGGTATGACCTTCCCCATTCTTTGTTGGACATTTGGGCACATGGGAAGCAAGAGTTTTGGGAACGAACCGCAACGGATCTTTCTTGCACGGGCGTTCCTTCATTGTCTACTGGGAACCAGCAAGTGAACGGTGGGCAGCACTTCGCTAGTATTCAGCCCAGATTTCCAGCCTGGGAGGGGTGTCAGCCCGCAATTTTTGCCCTCAGCACTCAAAAACATGTTGCCTCACTGAATTACCATAAAAGGGAGATGACTCACTAAAATCCAATGTGGATTGCTGGGCAGTAGGATGCTTGCTGAATGTTGACCTTGGCTTGTCGGATCTGGTTCTGCTGCAGAAACAAACGAGTTGCGACAGCTTGCACCAAAGGACCAGCATGTAGCATCCAAAAGGAGCCGATCATTTGTTGCCTATTGAGCAGGTCACCCAATTTGAACACAAGGTGCTTGTGGTCCAGCCAGCCAAAAAACCTATGCGGTCAGGTTTGGGCTCACCAGGGGGGTCTCACTGCCTCGCCGAGGTTTCAGCGGCGCGAGTATGCCATGCTCTCGCGCTTTGCCGGGGGCCGAAGCTACGTCGGCGCTTTTGTCGGGGTCGTTCTGTTTCTGGGGGTTCTCAAAGTCAGCTGGAATTTGGTGGCTTCCCCTCAACCCAGTCGGGGGGTGACTTTGACAATGATAAAATCATGGGGCTAGTCCCCGTAGGAGACAAAATTGCTCCGACCAGAAGTCAGGTTTGTTGGTTCGGTTGCACGGTTTTTCGTGACCTGGACCTTGAGATGACAGCGCCACGAAACGGCTCTTTGCAACGCTATGCACACCTGGCATGTGTCGGTCTTCGGTGGGAGAAACTCATCCCTCACTGCACGATTTATGGATCTGGTTGCTTGCTGCGTACAATATACGCAAGTGAGGGTTTATTCGGGACGCCCAGAAAAAGACCTTGTGCGTTTTCGGCAGCCGGACTGCCACTCCATATGTTTTGGCCGATGGATTTATTCAGAGATGGCCGAGATGTGCAGTGTAAATAAGTGGAACAAATGTATATATGGCCATGGGTCACAACCTATGCCTCCATGTACCACCTATTTTGATGTTCACCAGGGGTACAGGGTTTTGACCCACAGCCATATAACAGACATATTTGAATGAAGGCACCCAGAGATCCAGTTGGCCTAGGCTCAGCGAGAGCGGGAGATGCGCAAGCTGCCGGGTTGCTCGGATGGGGGTGAGTGGGGTTGATTCAACGATCCAACATAGGTCTGAAAAGCTGACCAATGCTTGCTTTCCAAACCAAACAGTGTCCATTTGAGGCTTCAAATAACTTCCTAACACAGATGCCCGAAGAACACAAGGACTCTTGTCGAAATTGCCCTGCCATACTGCCGCAAGCGAGTGAACAAAGAGATGCTGTGCAGCGGTGATGCGTCAAAACCAGTTGGACCCCTTCCAAATGATTGGCTTGTGCTGGCATGCTTTGAAAAAATGGGCCACATATGGTGCCCGCTTTGTTCTCACACAACCAAACACATTTTGCAAGATGCTTTGTTGCCGCGTGATCGCAATTTATTCCGACAGTGTGACCGTACCAAAGCTAGGAATCGACCCAACCATGGCTTCATGTTGGTTTCGAAACAATCCGTTTGACAGGTGTTTCAAAGGCAAATTGACAACCCACTTTTTGAAATGCAACCACTTCAATGAATCCAGTGGTTGACTCTGGTTGCATCCCTCCTGTTCCCAAAAAATGACGCCGAAGGAGTCTGCTAGGAACTAGCCCTTCGCAGAAACAAACAAGAGTGAGTGGGGAAACCCCCAATGGGAAGAGGGTGAAATTCACTGGAAGGGTTTCCCATACTCTTTGACCATTGGACATGACCTTTGCGAGTAGCCGAACAACGTGCAATCCAAACGATTTCCGCCTATTGCACGCCCACTTTTTGAAGTTCTGCTGCTATTGTGATTCTGGACCACGATGGGCAGTGCCACAATTGTAACATCATGAGCATCCGTGTCTAAATATATGCAGACAAATGTGTCCCTCTCTCTCTCTCTCTCTCTCTCTCTCTGTGCATGTGCATATTCTCACTCCCCCTCTCTACATGCCAACGCCGACGATCTCCAAAAGAGCACAATTCACGGGTGGTTATTGAAAGGCAAGCTGTAAACGAAGCAACAGAAGCAACAAGGCCGCCCAAACACTATCGATACCCATGGTTTGGCAGAAAGCATCCTAGGATGGGCTCTACTTTCCACCAGTCTCTTAGGCAACTAGGAAGTGGCAATACACTTTTTGAATGTGGAAGCCCTTGAGGAATGTGATCCACAAGTGTTTCACAGAAACGCTGAACCGCAAGAAAAGCAAACAATTGTAGCTGAAGTCTGCGGAAGTCTGGAGCAAATGGGGCGCGGAAAGCTTTCCTCTTGGGTTGACTCCTTGAATGCCAGGTTGTTGATGACTTCCATTTGGAAAACCTATACTGGAAGGGATTGAGCTACTGGTTGCGAGGAGCCTGGAGTGTGCGGAAGCCTTCCATACCTTCGACGACAACCGGAAGGCGTGCCGCGTACCGGTGCGGCGGTTGCGGTTTCGGGTTACCCCAAACCACCCCCAGTTGAATGGAACACGCTGCAACACAAGGGGAATACCCTCGTTTTCCAAGCCAGGAGGTACTCCTGCGCCCGACATTTTTGGTCGGGTGAGTGAGGACTCCCTGCGGGGCGCCTACGTGGACGGTGCGGTGAATCTGGAGCTGGGCCTGGTGCGTCAGCGGTTGCGGGGCCAGGACTCGATCGATATGCATAGTCGGAAGGCTCGGTGGTTGTGGCCGTTGGTGTGTTTGGTTGGATGTTTTTGGTTGAGGCGTGTTTATGGGTTGGCGTATTTTTGTTGAGTTTTTGGTTGCGGAGGCCGGCTGTTGGACGTCAATGGCTTGTTGTGGCTTAGAGGTGTCAGTGAACTTATTGTGCTCATGGTGTATGTGAAGGGCGTCCGTTTGGATGCTTGCACACGCCACACGCGTTGGCACAAACATCTGGGACATGTTGACGTGCATCAGGTTTTGCACGAGAACAGTGCCAAACATGTGGACACTTCAGTGACTGATGCTCTCACCAAAAAATGAAAGAACAAAGTGTTTCATTGTTTCAAGAACTTGCTGCGATGGTGTGGTGGCTTCGGCTTCGCATGCCATGCCGCCTCGAGGACCAAGAGATGGCTCGGGTCCGCGAAGAGCTGCAGAACGCACAGCCGGCAGCCAAAGAGAGGGTGGGTCTTTCTGGGGAATGCCCTCCCAAAATGGGGTGGTTTCTCTTTTAATCAATTGCTCTCCTTGCTCTCCTTGCTCTCCTTGGCTCTTCCCATAAAATGGGTTTCCAGCTTTGGGTTTCCTTTGGGCTAGGTTTTTGGGCCACTGGAAGGGGTGTTTCTTTTTTTGGCTCCCCGAAACCCTTGGTTTCCCTTCAGGACCTCTGGAATGCGTACCCTCAGCAAGAAACCTCATTCAATAAAGGGGTTTTTGGACGCTTGGTGGTTTTTGGAGAAGGAGCTGGCTGTTGGAACCATTTGCTTGGTGCTCGGTTTGGACCAGTTTTCAGTCCGCCCCTCACAGGCGCCTTTTCGCTGAGGTTCCAGCCGAACAGCATCCAGGGCAAGAAGCTGCTGCTACACCCGCTCGCTTGCAGTTGGGGAGGGGGATGCGTTTTGCTACCCGAGCCGTGCGATGGTTTCTGCATTTTCCCAACCATTTTTGATGTTTGGGTTCTCGTTTCGTTCAATCTATGCGGGGGGCACCCGTGCCGCGCGTGTTTGTGAAGGTGTACCTCGTCCGGGGCTATGGTGTGGTTGCGCGTGGGTCCCGAAATGGCCGGTGGGCTGACGGGGGTGCGTTCTGTTCTGCGGGGCCTCGGAAAAGGGCCCGGGATTGGATTCACAAAGGGCTCGGGGGACGCGCGGCGGAGCGCGCGGGTGGCTTGGCGCGGAACAGGCTGGTGATCGCAACAGTGGGTGCAGTTGATGTGCGGCTGCGAAGGGTGACAGCGATGACGATGGGCTGAGGCGGGCTGTTGTTTTGCGGCGCGCCAGGCGGAACGCGGTAGAATAGGGTCTGCGCGCGCGCCTAGGAGCTGCGCGTCTAGGGGGCACGCGCGGGCCCACATGGCCAGCCATGCCTGGAAGCAGGTGAAGGGATGTCGCAAGTCTTGCGAGGACTTGGCTGAGTGGCATAAGTGTTTGAAGTCTCATGGTGTTTCATCCCTGGGCATCCTGCAATCATGTCATTGTTGCTTCCAAGTAACATGCGCAGGAACACTTGTCCTGTTTTGAGTGCATTTCAGCGGACGCAGCGCGGGAAACAAGTTCTTCCGTGTTGTTTTTGGGTTCCTTTCTAAAGTGACTGAGCCAGGAAAGGCGCGACATTCCCCGAGAAGAGCTCAGACAGAGGAATGCTATGGTCTCCTTTTGCTTGGCCCCTTCGAGTCGGTGGCCGGCCCATACAAGGTATGGTCGATGCTTAAACAAGTACCCCACAGATCAGATTGCTCCGGATGCGCCTGCTCGCGTGCGCGTGCCAGGGACAAGTGCGCCCACCTCTTGGAGGAGAACTCGGAGATCGCCCGGCAGCTGAGCGAGGAGAAGATGCAGGCGTTGAAGCGAGGGGAATCGGAGGTAGGGTATCGCGTTTTCATAGTTGGGGGGCACGCCAAATTTGGTGGTTCCTTGTGGCCTTTGGTTTCCCAAGATCATGTGATCCCGGATCTAAGTGGGTGTGTTTGGTTTTGAAGTTTGTACCCTTTTTTCGGGTTATGTCCTGCCAACAGGTGCCCTTCTAAGGGGTGCGCTTGATTTCTGTTTATATTTTTTACCCAGCCGTATGTGCATGTGCTACAGGGTTCAGCTCTGTTTCCCGCTTTTACATTGATATGTTTTAAACATCATCCTGGGACATGTTCAGTGAGTTTCCGTTCGGGGGATGTTCAAAGAGGAACTATAAGGAGCCCAGCTTTGATGAGAACCGGGGCTGGAAGCCACAGTAGCGTTCACTCATCCCTTCTGCGCTTCAGCAACATCTTCGTGTCCTGAAAGAAGCGCGTCTTGAAAACTGGGCTTTGCCCTGGCTTGATTCGGCGGTTGCTGCGCCCTTTCTCATGCTCTTGCAACAAGAGGGTTGTCATCTCTGGACTTGGCTTGCCAAATGCGCTTTGCTTTCCTGGACAAGTACGAGTTCTGCCATCATATTTGGTCTGGATACGTGTCAATCTGCAGGGACGTTAAAATCTTCCTTTTGCTGTCTCGATGTTTCCCTTTTAAACCAAGGTGAAGAGGGTAGAACTCAGCTGTATTCGAGACGGGACCAGCTGGAAGGCTTCGATTTGATTGAGAGGTTCTGCGCATCCAGCTTGCTGCAGAGCGGCAAAAAAGGCTGCAGTATCGCGGGGAGCCCTGAGTGCTTTTAATTCTTCCCCGGGTTAGATCAACTTGGCTTTTGATGAAGTACTTCTTTTTATTTGTAGGTGTTGGTTGGTTGTCAGTTTTTGCTTGGCTTTTTGGTCTCGGTCTTGTCACATATTTCCTAGTCTGTTGAAAGGTTTGTTTTTTTCTCAAAAGCGGGAACCTCCCCTCGGTGGTAGAGCAAACGCGGAAACCGAAAGAACACAAACCACTCGGATGGGCCCCAATTTTGTGACATATGTGGCGTTTGTGTTCCCTTGTGTCACTTTTCTGGTCCCACCATGGCTAGTGGATCCTTTATTCACAAACCTTTTAGGGAATCAACCCTGGAGAGCATGTTTCCTGGAGAGCCAAGCTGTGGGCAAGCACGGCCTTCGGCCCCTTTGCCGGACTTCTTGCCGGTGCCATCCTCCCCCACGGGTCTCAATCGACGTGCGTAACTTTGGCAACCCGCACTCGGGAGCCAAATTTCGCCCAGCCACCCGCCCGAGTGTCGGCTGCAACCAGCCGTTCCGCTCTCGGCCGAGGGCAGCGGATTGCGCAGCTGGAGAAGTATGCAGAGCAGGTCCGCTCGCTCGCAAGTTGGGGGCCGGGAGGGGTTCGCTCGCAGTTTGCCCAATTGGTTTCGTTGGGCTTTGCAGGCATTGGAGCCATAGGAGTGGCTCGGTGATCACGGTGCTGGATAGATCATGTGTTTTCTATCTCAAGAAATTGCAGAGAGTCTTCTGTCTTCTTTTCGGTTTCCTTCATGAGCCGGTTTCAACCGGGGCACTGTGGGCTCGATTCATGAGATCCCCAAAGGGGCCTCTGGTAGGGAGGCAACATGCCGGCGTGCCTTTGTGAGCTTTTGAGACGAGGTCGACGTGAAAAAGTTGACGTGTGTAGGGCATACGCTTCTTCGTTGAGATTTCGCAATTGTTACAGGCATGTGAGATTCAGCGGTGTGACTATGTTACATGTCCAAGAGCTCAAGAAATTCAGTGGACGTCGAGGTGGATGCAGAGAATGAGAAGATGTCAAAGAAGCCCCGCGCTTAAATCGCTTTCAGGTTGCAGCCATTGGTTGGATGTAGAAGGCATCCAGGCGTTTGTCTCAGCGTCGCCCTTGGCTATTAGCGTCCGCGTGCAATGTTTCTTTCTTGATAGGGTTCTGCCTTCAGACCTTTGCTTCTTTTCCATGTTTTTGGATTTGCTTATGATTGGTTATGATTGCTTATGACTGCTTTTTGTTGCTTATTGTTGCTTATTGCTTGTTTCGTTTTTTTCTCAATTCACTTTTTCATTTCCAATCCGTTCCGAGGATCACCGAGCTGGGTCAAAACCTCAAGGAGCCGGGGCCCCGATGAGCGGCGAAAGGTGCAAGCGAGGGGTCGGATGGGTTAAGCCATAAGGGAACTCGAGGCTCGGCTCACATCGATTTCGATTTCCCTCTCGTGAAGAGGCAAACGTCTGGAAGTCATAGAAAACAGGATCCACGCTTCGCTCGAACTTGTTTGTAAGGACAACACACAACATGTGTGCTGAGCTGGAATCGATGATATTTTTTGATGGCATTTGATGTGAATGTCCAGGACAAGACCCTTTGCTTGGGCAAACGCATCCCCTAAACGGCAGGTCGCGTGTTTGCTTTGTGCCCGGGAAGCAGCATACTTTGACCACAACTTCTTTGGCCATGTGTCGAACGCCGGACTTGTTGATTTTTTCTTTTGGGGTGTACAGTAACATCCACCATTGATACACACTCAGTGCATATGACATACACGTATTTATTTTTCCAGGCATGCATGTTCGATTGGTGCGCGATTCTGGATCAGTGTTGCCAAGCCTTCCACCCAACTGGCTTGATTCATGTTCCGCAGTTCCAAGCGCCAACGGGTGCCTAGTGTCGCTTGCTGAGGACCCGGGGGGAGATCGATCGCAACAAGAAGGACACGGATTCCGGCACTCGGGAGACTTTGGGCTTAGGGTTGGCTTTCAGGTGGATAGCTTTTTGAAGACCACGTCATGTCCCCTGCTGCTTGGGTCGTGCTCCTGTCAAGACGCGCGCGAATCGTTTTTCTTTTGCCCGAACTCGGCAGGAGATCGAGGACATCAAGCCGGCGGCCCAGGGAGCCGATCCGGGCTTGCCTTGTGATTTGGGGACCCTGGTCATCCCAAAGGGGAATCTCAACAAAAAAACAACATACACATCTTTTGTGCTTGTTGGCTTCGGATGATAGGCCTGCATGAATCGGTGATTGGATGATTGCATCACACATGAACTTTTGGAACACTTGAAGCAGCATGTGGGGAGTGGACATAGGACCATTTGCTTCAGTCGTGAATGGGGCAGCTGCGTTTGGGACCTTGAGAGGTGACCAGAAAGTAAGCCGATCGATTTGACGTGCAATTTCTGCCACTCAACAGCGCAAGGGAACTGGTCCAAACTGACGGAAAGGTGAGACAATCCCTTCTCAAAAGGTAGGGTGTCTCTCACTTTGCAGCCAGATGGGTTTTCTTGAAATAGCTTTTGAAACAGCTTTGAAAACGGGGAATCGTCCAGAAGCAACCCCTTCCAGCCGCTTTTTCTCCTTGAAGAGACACGTGCTTGGGAAGCAGGAACCAGACCCTCGCGCTGAGGACCGGCAAGCGCAAGCACAGCGCGGCCGCGGTGCCGGCGGCTTCCGCGTCCGTGCCGCCGCCGGCTTCCGCGGGCCCGGCCGGCAGCCCGGCGGCGCCGCTGGTGACGCCGGAGGTGGGGGTTGGTCTTGCACGCCATTTTCCAGCACCATCGTGGCTTTCTGATCCCCACGAACTAAACGCCTGGTAAATCTCATCTGGGGACGTCGTCCAAAGTATGGGAAGTCCAATCACAGCTGGCTTCGCATTTTGAATCCCTAGAGTTTGATGTGTGAGTCATGGGGCGACGCCAGTCATCGCATCTAAGAATCTAGAGTATGTGAGGACATTTTGAAACTGGGACGCACCACATCTATTTGTCAGCCTCAGGTCTGTCAGTGCCCGCACCAGATAGCTAAGCGACTCTTCTGCAAGCCTCATCACAACTCCGAAGACCCACAGCTGCCAGCTCCCAACCTTGAATTGCCTGGCCTCAACAACCCTCAGCAACGCCGCAGCCAACTCACACAATTCATCAGGCCTCGGTTCACTGGGCCTTGCGCTGGCAGAAAGCCGGAGCATTCTCCCGGTGCCATTGTGGGGTGTCACCGGGCAAAGGAAGCCGCTTCCATAGCCCCCCGGTTGAAGCTCACACAGTGGCTTGTCCTCCGTTTCTGCAGGCAACATGTCAGCTGTGGCATGGATATACCCATGTCCGGCCTTTCGCCCCAGTGGGGGAATGAGTGCACCCGGGAGTGCACAGTAGGCCGAGGTGCGCAAGGTGGGAGGAGGCGAGATACCCCCCTTGTGGCATGCCGTGTACTGGACAAATGTAGACAGCTTAGCAGCATGAGGGTTGCCGGCCAGAAGAGCCAGACAGCTCCTCTCCTTGACCTCGCTCATAAACTGCATGCCATTCTGCTTATTGACCACAGGCAAATCCAGAAACTTATCTGCAGCTTTCCTCGGTGTGGTAGCACGGACTGTATGGCACACATGCCGTATCTGGGATGATATGCTTCGCCCCACCACCAGGGAGGGATCCATCTTAGGGGAAATGAGGCCAGCCTTTGCAGCGGCAGCACCGGTATCAATCTCACCTCCAAATGCACAATATGCCATACTACCCGAGATAGTCACCTGCTAGTAGTATGCAAATATTGCTCGCACAATGGCTAATGAAGATGATAGTTGCGGTGCAACAGCCTATGGCTCGCGCTCTGAGACCTCGGCGCATAGCGCCGGTCACCGTAGCCATTTTGGCTCAAGGTACGTTTCGCCTTTGCTTCTTTTGCTTTGCCAGTCTGGACAGAAGATGTCGACCAGCCACGCATTCGCGGAGGGATTCACCCTGGAGTCGCTGAAAGGGGAATGCCAATGTGGAGTCTAGCTTTACACCACTGGTCGGTGCAGAGCGGAAGCGCCTACAGGCTTTGCTCAAGGCAGGAAAGACCAAGGTCGACAGTGACCTCCTGGAGAAGATCAAGGGCCAGACTTTGCCAGAGGTGGAGAAGAACATGGCCGGCTGATGCTGATCGGGGGAATGGGGGGCGATGAGCTGGAGGAGTACTTGGTGGCTAGGCACAAGCTCTACGGCCATGTCAGCCTGACCTGGTCCGCACAGCCAGAAATGGTACAGGAGACCATAAAGAAGCTCGGGCTGGCTGAGGGCGCTACCTGCATCACAGGTCAAACAGATTGCGCGTGGCAAGGCCAAGTACATCTTCCCCCCCTATGTCTCGGCAGCGGGGCCGGCCGATGAGTACAAGCGCTTCCTGGCCGGAGAGCTGGAGTGTGGGTTCGAAAGGCCCCAGTACTTCACTACCCTCGCGGCGGCCACATCTGGAGAGGTCATCGCCAGCCCCACCGAGAAACCGCGAAGCGCCCCTGCGGGCAAGGCCAGCAACATGCGCACCCGCTCGGTCGCCAAAGAGGTCACGCAGGAGGTGTTGGACTCGTGGGAGTGCTCGGTGGCCATGGATGCCTCCCTGGCTCCTGGCGCGAAGCTGGGCGCGCTTGCGAAGATCGGCTCGAGGGTCGAGAACATCAAGCAATCCGAGCTTGGTGGAGCTGTGTGGCGCTATGCGAACGTATCGCTCGGAGACACGACGAAGATCGCTTCGGCCCAGTGGTGCTGTTGAAGCTACCGGAGCTCCAGAGGCTGGCTGGCAAGACGGTCTTGGCCTCGTCGACCTATGGGGTTGACTACGTGTATGCAGGAATGAAGTCGAAGGATGGGCGACTGTGCGTGGCCACAGTCAACAACATCATGAAGAAGTACGGAAGGGCCGCGCTCAGCTGCCGCGAGGGCGGAAGCCTGAAGGCCTTGGATTTGACGACCAATGATTGAAGAGGTTATGTTTCACCGAGATCCGCGTGGATATCGGCAACTCCTGCATTGTGAAGCTCGGCGACGACACCGTGGAGTCTTTGGCGGAGACTCTGGCGCGCACGTCTCTGTGGGGTGTGGCTCACATCGAGCTTCGCCTCTCTGCGGAGGTCCAGCTTCTCGAGGCACACGGGCGCGCGCCAGCATCTGGATTTTAAAAATAATGCCCCACTCTTCCCCGCTCCTCCGCATCCCTGTGCCTATCGGCGAAAGACGAAAACTGCAGAAATACCCCACCCGGATTTGCTGGGGTTAGGATTCCCGCTGTCAGCCCACTGCTAATCTGCTGCCTATAGTAACATGGCACAGAAGGCATCCCCGGCGATCTATCTGCAGGCTATATATTGGGCCGCAGAGAGTAGGCGCACAATCAGTCGGTATGATTCCAGCCCCAAGTGCCCAGATTTTTTAAATTGACGCAATGCCAAACAAACAAATCCCAAATATTTGGTTTTGCTGTCATTTGTCGACAGCTGACTTGATGGAAGGGGGAGGGGAGAGGGGAGAGGAGGGATGGGCAGGGGGATGGGATGGGGGAGTAATGGGAGAGGGGAGCAAATAGAGGCGCAGACAAGCGGTCCGTCCCACGCCCCCTGACCTTCACTCGCCTAATTTAGAAAGTGACGCCCGCATCTCTGCATTGGCACAGCTCTCCACCACTCTCCCACATGCTGTACTCACTGAAAGCACATGAAGCTCATGGGCAATGTCCTCCGATGTCATCCAGGCAATGAATTCGGAGACCTTCACCATTGCACCAATTAGGACAGGTGGCAGAAGCGGAACCTTCGCCATCTCCACCCATAGCTTCCCCACATAGCCAATCGCGCGCTTGAATTCCTCCAACTCCATCAGCTGCCGCAGCTGGTGAGGTCCCAGCGGTGTCTGCGCCACGTCCCTGAGAAGGACAATCGACATGAAGCGGCAATCGAGACTTCCTGCTTCGATGGAGGCAGTGACATTATTGATGCCAGAACACACCTGTCCCAAGATTCTTGTGGACTGGCTGTGTTCGAATGTAATGGTTTTCCCAGTGATCTGTTGCAGCGATGCTACAAGTGTCGTGAGCAGTGCTGCGAAAAAATCCATCATGCCGGGATACCCACTTGCCTCGCGATTCCCCTTCGATTTGCACTGATGGGCTAGTTGCACCATTTCATGGAGGCAGGTCGCTCCAGGGGAATCCTGCTGGGGAGGTGAGGGTCAGCCTGCAGGGCCGCACTATAGGCCCGCTGCTGTCAGAGTCTGCCCCAAAGTCTTCGCAGCTTCCCTCATCAGGGGGGTCTCCGTACACTATGCTGGACAATTCTTCTTCAGCCAGCGCGAAGGCTGACTCGGTAACCTTTTTCCGATATCCTTCATTGTAACGGGGCCTGGCTGGCGGCGGCCTGGGCCTTTGCAGCGGCAGTGGTCTCTTTCCTGGATTGCGCAGCAGCCTGCTTGGCCTAGCCAAAGCAGCAAGTCTTGAAGATTGCTGGCCGAGCAGCAGATCTACATCATCTAGCCTTGTGGCTAACTTGCTGTCCCGCATGTCCATGGTACCTGCTACACTGGTCAGGTCTGCTCGCAGTGCAGTCAATTCTTCCCTCATGACTGACTGTTCCTCCCGGAGTGAGGCCGTGAGCATCTCCTGTCGCTCCATCCTCTCCAGCAAGCCCTGTACTACACTCTCCATGCTGGAGCCAAAAGGTGTCGCCCAGCAAAGTGGTATATAACAGTGAAGGACTACCTACAACCAAAATGGCCGTAGGTGCATCTGCTTATGGCAGCGCACCTACGACTCCGCCGGACTGCAATCCCTCGAAAATCACGTTCGTTGATCGACTCTGTGCCGCTCCCCGGCATTGCCCTGGTGAACGGAATGCAGCCATATTCCATATTCCATTGGCTGTCCCATGAGCTGGTTCACTCCCCACCTGATGTGGCAACTGAGTGGGTACAGTGCATCGCGCCTGCAGCAATATTGAATGCCGCCTCCCAACCAAAGCTTGCACCAGTCCCCGGTTGCCGCTCCGCTTCTGACCAGATTAATCTGCAAGCATTTGTCCGACATTCGGCAGATCGCACGCAGGGGCAGTGGGCAGGACTCGTTGCCAATATATCTCGCCAAGACCGTGAGGTACGGAATGTCCGGAGAGATATGAAACACCCGGGGTTGTCCCCGCGTGGCAACAATAATGGTGAGTTGCGCCCCTGCCAGGTTCCAGTTCGCAACAGTAGCTGCATCATGTGCCACTGCCTCAGCGATAGATGCGCTGCACCTTTTACTAGCCACGTTCTGTGCGGCCTGCCTGCTGGTGTTCTCTGCGGCCAAGTGTGACTGTACCCTGTTAGCAAGGCGCTGTGGCTACATCATGCCATTGGCCCAGACTGGCGCAGGGACTACGTGCAATACTTTGCCAGTAGTTGCCACATGGGAGGATACCACAATCAATGGCCTAGAATCCAGCTCTGCATCAAATCTGACCCCACAGGCAAGGACAAGCTCGCCGTGCTTCTGGCAAGTAAGGGGATGCCAGGGGCAAATTCCTCAGCTGCAAGCTCCTGCGAGCTCCTTGCAATCACAGCGATAGGCTCACTGGAAGAAGAGGAGGGAGAGGATGCCATAGCAAAACAGCCAAGCAATGCGAATGACTGATAACAAGGGCAATGTTGCAGCGAGCCTTTCAAAATCAAGAGTGCACAAAGAACAGATTGGACACATACTCCAGCAGGCTGGTGTCAGCAGTGCCCAAGTCGAGGCTGGGTCTGACAGCTTTCGCATCAAGCACAAGAAGGTCCTCCAGGTATACAGCAGGCTCCACATACAGCTCCCGCCCAAAGACTGTAACTGCCACAGTTCCCTTGTATCCTCCGTGGAGAATGATGGGAAATTGAAGCGTAGTGGCTGCAGCCTATGACCCAGAGGATGCACCCCATAGTATTTGGCACCTCTTGACACCAAGTGAACGATCAATGCATGCTCGTAGCAGAGGCAGAACTCTCCAATAGCCACTATCTCTGGATATGCGCTGCGTTTGATGCTTCCTGTGAGCCTCATAAACTCACTGAAGGTTCCATTGAACACCATGGGTACCCTCCTGTGCCTCCTCGATTCCAGACCTTCTGGCTGATCAGCAACCCCCGCGGTATCTGGCTCGACGCCGATGGTAAGATGGCGCCGGGACGAAAAGGATCTGCCATTGAGGAGCAGGTTGCAGCCTCCAAAAAGCTCCTTGCACCTTCGCCGCATCTCTGTGCGAGCAAGTTCAGATGCCATCCTGACCCTGGCTGGCAGGCTCACATCGGCCGAATTGCATCAGCAATTGCAATGGGTCCTTCTAACTGTGCAGATTCAGATGATACAATCACACACTCCAAAATGGTGCCCAGTGACACACCTGCAACAACAGCCCCTTGCTCATCACACAAGGATAGGCTGCCATCCGGTCCAATGAAGGATTCTTCTTGATGCGATAGCTAACCCTGGAATCCAGCTGGACTGGCACGTGTCGCCGAGATGGAAGAACGTGTTGTCACCGCTCATCTCCGGGTGATGGGGCACGACCTTGAAGGTGTCAGCCGAGAGCAGCCCGTACATCAAAATGCTAGGATACATTGAGCTGAAGTCAACAATGACCACCTGCCCAGCAAAGGCTTGTCCACAGCTCCGCCCGCATACCATGGCCGGTGAAAGGGCACCAGCTGAAGGCAGTGCAGCTTCAAGTTCCTGGATAGGCGCACCCCCTGTATCACACAGGCGTTAATGCTACCCGTAGAAGCCCTCGTCGGAGCATCAAATCTGCTGCCATGCAGCTGCAGGAGTGCAATCACCTCATGCAACATACCGCTCTTCTGCACCAGCTTCACAGCGCCAAAGGAGTCCTGCAAGTTGTACGTCAGCGCATCCGGAATCAACTCGCGAGACAGCCCCTCATCCATCGGTGGCGAGACATACTTCTCATAGCCAAAGTGCCCGAGAAGATTAGCCAAGCTGAATGAGGAACACTCAGCCCTGTGCAGCTTATCAAGATAGGCTCGAGAGCGGCATCCAGATCACCTTGACATCCTTCATGTCATTGTGCCACACCGGCAGCACATTAGGTGACACACCCTCGCCAAATGAGTAGCAGTGCACAATGACAGCCGTCCCGCAGCTGCAATACCATAGCCTATCAGGCGAAGGTGCGCCTTTGAGATCACGCAGGCAATCTCCTGCTCGCCGGAAGCCGACACAAGCTCAAGGCGCAAGAGCAAGAATGCACCGCACAGATCTGATCCTCCAACCAGCCTCCACTGCAGCCCTCACCTGAGCCAGCTTAAATTGCGCCTCCATTGGTCCGATTGAAGGCTGTCGCGCGAAGCGAATCCTGTGCCGGCAAAGTACAGGTAATCAAGAAAGCTGCTGCTACGGTATCTGCCTTGCAGTGATCCGTGCAGCACCTGCGGGTTGCCTGCTTGCCTACCTATCCGTGCCCGCTACTTGCTCCCCTCTCCCGTTACTCCCCCATCCCATCCCCCTGCCCACTCTCCCCTCCCCCTTCCATCAAGTCAGCTGTCGACAAACAAGTGAGTTGTGTCGGAGGGCGAGTGCTGGGGAGGCGGAGTGACAGCAAAACCAACCCCTCCCTGCGGTTGGGATTTGTTTGTTTGGCATGCCCCCCACCTCAAAAATCTAGGCACTTGGGGCTGGAATCATACCGACTGATTGTGCGCCTACTCTCTGCGGCCCAATATATAGCCTGCAGATAGATCGCCGGGGATGCCTTCTGTGCCATGTTACTATAGGCAGCAGATTAGCAGTGGGCTGACAGCGGGAATCCTAACCCCAGCAATTCCAGGGGTGGGGTATTTCTGCAGTTTCCCTCCCCATTAGCGCTAGTCTTTCGCTGATCGGGGAAGAGTGGGG